TTATTCAACCTGTCGAAGGTTGACCGGAACTCCCTTTAGGTCTAAATCAGCAAACATGACTCTATAGTTAACCTTGTATACCTTAATTTTGATTTTTACTGATGAGCTGTCGCGTAGGACGTTCCACTCCATAACCTTCACCTATTGAAGACATTTTTATAAATAAAAATTTTGTTTGCTATCCGAATAGTGTAATAGGACCTTGATGCAGATTAAGATCTTAATTAAAAGTGAAAGGATCAGAACGTGCTTTCTGTTGAACAAGAAGTTTCTTCGTTTGTTCTCGAATACCGATCTTCATCGCTGGCCTTCAGTTTACACTTTATTAGGTAAATCCACTGATTAATTCTTCTACAATCGATGACACAATTGTACTATTGTACAGTCGAAACTGTCTCGACGATGGATGTGGTTGTATATAAATTCGGTATGTATAAGGCTCTGTTAACATGGTCGTGTAGGGTAATGGAGACAAATGAGGAGGCGAATTCCTTATATTTCAAAACGATGACCAAACTTTAGAAGTGTAAATCACATATCAATCAAATGAAATATTTGCTAAATGAAATTACATGTGTTATAGATCATCAACATCAAACTTGTTTCGTAGATTTACTTTAGTAAATTTCAATTTCTATAAAGTATTTTACAGGCGTTATAGAAATCCTTGAATCCGTGAAGATGAGAATGTTGTCGAGTTTCTAGCGAGAAATATTTGATCTGTTGTCGACAACCGGTGAAAATTACGTGACAGACAATAATTGGTGGAATGGTAGTTTTAATCGGAATATCACTACATAACGGCCTTTTCACCTAAATGATCATGCAATATTGTTAAAGAATCTGTGGTTTTATTCATTAAGACTGTATCATTCTCTAAAATTTAATTAAGTTTCCTTTTCCGATATCTTTTCTTTCCTGATCCTTTCTTTGGTTGTGATATTTTTGTCGTTATAGCTTTTCATTGAGATTTGTTTGCTATTATGCCTCTTATTACATGTTGAGTGTGTATTTCTTATTCAACAAACGGGTATTCAACTTGTTTTTGCCATAAAAATATCAATTATTACACTGATTATTAAATGTCCTTAAAGCACCTTCATTTCAAATTCGATGTTCTAATGGGGTAAACATTATTTTATTGTACCGGATTCTGCGTGCTTTAGATATTCCTCAGGCATTGAAAACTATTAGTCTTATCCTAGTCAGGGACAGCAAGTTCATGGGCATTTCAAATAACCTGATGAATGCTTTGTATCTTGAGAAACAATGGAATCTCAAACAAATCTGAAACAAATTAATTCACCAGAGATTTGACAGAGTAGCTCTAGAAGTGTATCGAAGTTGATTAACATCTCCAATTGGAACACAGTGGGTTTAATATGGTATTACAGGCTATAAGTAACATATTGGATATCAATATGATTATATGTCCAGGTATATGGGCACTAATATTGACAGAGAGATCAATGACAAACATTTTCAATCCTTTGTGTTTCTTTATCTTTGTCCAATAGTTGGTCCTGTCAAATTTACTCTAATATTTAAACCAGAATAGAGTGAGAAAATCATTCAAAAAAATAATAAAGTGAATGGGCAAGCATTTGCTTTGTGTCAAACGGTCTGTCCAGCCTATAACTGTCCAAATATCTATCAGAGGCACGAATAAAGGCAGATGTTTCGCTGAGTTTTATGTTTGCTCAATACCTGTTCTATCCTGGCATATGTCGAGATTATACCATCCGAATTTTCAACTCGGCTTCCCTTATCAAGGAGACAAGTCAGAGGGAGCAACATAAACAAACTATGTCTTTGTTTATAAACATTTGTAGTCCAGAACTACCAGACTAAAATCACTTGATCACGTGTCAATATCGGGATAGTTCCAACACATTATGGCTGCCATTTGTTACCGTGTTATGTGGCAGAGCTCTAGCGTAACTTCCACGAGAGACGGTTTGTCATCTGTAGTGTGATTGGAACTTTATTATAAATAGAAGATTTGACTGTTTGATTTCTATTTAAGGTAATGATACTTCAAACGACAATTTTATAAGGTTTGATAAAACAGCCATCAACCAATCTCCCTCAATTAATACGGGAAATTATCCTTTTTTCTTCAAATTGCTCGAGGAAATTTCCAGCGAAAATAAAACACTAAAGTTTATTCACAGCAAACTTTGACGATTGGCTTTGAATATTTACTTGTTACCTAGATAAACAAGACGAATTAAAAATTGTATATTTTTTTTATTTCTGAAAATTCGAGTGACATGAAAAAAGTTCAAAGAACCTTCTCTCAGACAACATGGAACCACAAAGCACCGATTATCTGCAAATATGACAGTCCTATTTAATAGTCAGTCGTGTTTACAGCAAAAGCAATGGTTTTAGTTCATTATATCATTATTTCATTATAATAGAGTTCACTCCTTGTCATACAACACAATTTAAATTGTTGTATGGCGTCACACTATTGCGCAATAAAAACCGTTCTTGGTTGGATCTATCTCTTTCATTGTAGCGTCACGCTTTTGTGCAAATGAAACCAGCCTTTTAGTGTGGTGACGCAATTTATACGTCTCTTAAAGTGACAGGTGCGCAAATTCTTTTACCAATTATACCGTAGTCTCAGAAACTGGATTTTTTTTTAGCCTAGCCAATCAGAAATAGTGGTCCCGACTCACTGTCGAAATTTGAGACATCAAATCCATATGTGTCCATCTGCGTTAAAAAGACTACGAGTCGTCCTTTCTTGAGACACTGCCATATACAAAAAGTACATCTATAGAAATAGGAAAAGAAATTCTTAGTTTGAGATATTCTTGAAGGAATTATGCGATTTTCGCACATTTCTAGTCTTGATTTCAATTTTGGACAGTTGTGACACTAGGTTGAAGTTCACTCTTTTCTCAATAGTACTGCAACACTGGCTGTGCTTCACTATGGTGGAAATGATACGGAATCATACAACAGACACAATTGCGCAATCAATATTTAATTTTGATAAAAGTTGTTATTTGGCTTCATCTCTGGGGAATAGTCAATGCTGAACGTGGATTTTTCTATGGTGCAAGATATCCTCTCTGGGTAAAACACGTAAAAACATCCTTCTATGTAATCTAATCAAAAATGCAGATCTTTATGTTTCATTTCTTTTTTTTTATCAGAGGTGGACTTGAATGGTAAGAAAAGAAAACCCCATGGAGAATACCAAACTGTAGTAAAATTGCCTTTTGAGAGAGAGCTACAGATTTCATTATCAAACTGTCCTCTGCTGTCTGTTGTTTTGGAATATTTTTCTTGAATGTGATTGTTTTTAAAGCTAGTTGTAGGTTTTTCCTCTACGATAACATCTTTTTGGCAAATCACTTGACTCGTTTCGCGACATAAAAAAGAAACATGCAAATCGTTCTGCCTTGATTAACATACACCTTTTATATTCTTTATCTTCGGAATCGTCTGGTGGTTTTTAACTTGATTCTGATCAAAACTGTGCCATAAAAGTGGAAAAATGTCAAGTGTTAAGTGATCATGGATAAAGTGTTTAATTCCATTACCAGATAGAAACGTATCAACGGCATTTCAAGATGGTGGACGATAACATTTCTCTAAGAAGTTGGAAAGACTTCATCTCCAACCAATCATAGAGAGATCAGATCAAACGTTGAATGGAACATAGTTTATAGCAACTTCCGGTTTCCAGAAATAATTATTATGGCTTAAGCTTTCAGCAAATAAAGAAAGTGCGCAGGTTCACCTGAACTGTATTTCAAATACTTCGCAAATAGAAAAAAGTTTCCTAGTGTTGAAGTATATAAATATGGACAAAACATCAGAGAACTGAGTCACCACATAGTTAAATCTATATATCACAGCAGTTATATTGTCTTCATCAATAGTTACAAAATATGGTATACATTTTTAACATTTTTAAAATGCCTCTTGTTAATGGAATGTATATAAACAACAGGTTTGATGTCATATTATACGGTCAATAAATTGTTCTAATCAGTAGTTTATGATGAATACAACAGTTCATCAACCGTACGACCTGTATCACGCCTAGTTGATGCAGTTGAATATGTTAATTGGCATTTCTTAATATTTACATATTACGCATATCATTCATTATCGAATATGTTATTATTGAAGATACTCTACAACATTTGCGGACATATGGTAGTGAAAGCATTAAATTACTCAAATCGGTAAAATACTGTTAAAGATTCCTCTCCCCCTCCCCTGAGTATGTTACCTTGTTACATTGTCAATGGCATTGAGACTGGTAAAGTAAACAAAGATACGAGCATGTCAAGCAGTAAGAAGAACAGATCAGTTCACTAGACTTTCATAAGCACTATTTGGTTCGATTAGCTGATCTTTATCTGTTTGTTAGGGTTTCTAGATTTGTATAAACATAAAAGAAAAAAATCAGAAAAAAGTCAGACCCGTAGTACGAATTAACGTCTTCAACCAAACTGTGGGCTTAAGGTTTTAATTTTGCATCAAGCGTTCCAAACGCGTAAGTGTGCTTCCTCGATAGGCGTGACATTCCACACGTTACTAAAGCAGTGGAATTCGCATTTTTCATACTTTTGATTTATTTATAACTACATACGAAATCTAAACAAAATGTAAACTATGTTAAGTATAATAAAATATAATAATTCCAGCATAGCACGGACAAATTCCAAGACATCCTCTAAACTTATAGTGTAAATATATAATAATGGTTGATACTATCAACTATGATAATGATTTGATAAAACGTCTATGTATTTGATATTTTTTATATGGCCACTTATATTAATGGGGAGTTCTTCTCGACTTGAAACTAAAAAAAAATGGTAGCTTACCTATCGTGTACAAGTTTATTTTCAAGATTGATATACATTATAATACATTCCACAGTTCCTTCCACATTACATAGTTTCTACAATATCTAAAAAAACTCGTTCCACAATACCACATAACTGTATAGCCCCTTCTACAATACACTATAACACAATAGCTTCTTCTACAATACGATTTAACATCATAGTTCCTTCTACAATACAATTTAACATCATAGCTCCATCTATAATACAATATAACATCATAGCTCCTTCTACAATACAATTTAACATAATAGCTTCTTCTAAAATACAATATAACATCATAGCTACTTCTACAATACAATTTAACATAATAGCTTCTTCTAAAATACAATATAACATCATTGCTACTTCTACAATACAATATAACATCATAGCTCCTTCTACAATACAATATAACATCATAGCTCCATCTAAAATACAATATAACATCATAGCTCCATCTAAAATACAATATAACACCAAAGCTTCTTCTACAATACAATAAGGGAGCCGCGGTGGCTCACTGAGTTAGACGCATGCTCGCAAACCTGAAGGTCCTGGGTTCAATCCCGGCAGAGGTCGAGATAATACGTTCGGATTTTTCAACCCGGTTTCCCCCGGTCAGTGATGCAGGTACGAGGGGCTGATATGGAAAAAGCTCTTTCTACAATATAGACATATAGAAATAGGAGTAGGTAAAGAAGCACAAGATATATGTTAATAAATGTCAGCAATAGTATATCAATATATCTTGTGCTTCTTTATAAAAAGCGTTGTTTGTAATTAAAAAGGCTACACATATTGTCGCCTATTGTATCGGTAACAACATTTCTTTTTTATTTGATTCTAGAAAAGCGAGACGTGGGATTTTGAAATCATAAAATGATAGTTAGTATGTAGTATGGTTTGAAACTGGTAAAGCAGACAGTTGTGAGGATTGTATACCTAAAATATATAATACATGACACAAGGTGTTCTGGAGTTAATATGAATTATTAAACTGTAAATTATGAGCGAGATCAACCCTATGACTGCCCCTTTCTATATATTAGATTAAAGATAATAAATATTTAATTAGAATTATTAATCTTGACGCCTAGATATATCTCTGCTACTTATTATTGTAATAAAATTAAAGATAAAGCTGTATTCCCACAGCTGTTGCATCGTGGTCGAATTTTTCTTATTAAAGGGATTGCAAAGAGGCTTTCTTAACTTTTTATGTGTATCGGGGACACCATACTTCGTGACAGTGTTGTCATTTACGGTTAAGCATTTCAATAATACAGGCACCATAGATATATATCGCAAATTTGAATGATGCAAATAGAAATAAAAAATAATCACGTTAATCATATAAAACAAAAACGTCTATAAATCTATATAAGTTAAACCATCATCCTACCATTTTTACCGTTAAATTTCTTATTCCTTTGCAACCTTTCCTTTCCTTAGCCACAACCATCTGCCCTCACAAAGAAACATCAAGTTGAAGAAAAGAGGAATCAGACATCACATCAAAAGTCCCTTTACCCTATAACATTGATTCGGTGTGGTATTGGAATCTGAAACAAGCTAAAAATAAGCCGAAACATATTTATTGAGAGAAAAGAAGACTAGACTTAGTTTCATTTAGTGTTAACATCATGTTCTTGAATTGGTCACAGGTTTATAATCAATTGCTCTTGTTAAATAACATGTTGACAGAGGTAAACACAAGACTGTGTGTAAGAGACGAGTGAGTTGTTTACAATTTTTTTTTTATTTCATCCGAGCATCCCTCCTGAGTCCGTATTGTCAACATTTATTTTATTTTTTTTTTACATATGTTTGCCGTCTAAACACCCTTTTTAATGAGACAACTTCTTGAATAACCTTTCATTGATTAGTTAAGCTAGTTTTTGTTATCTTCTAATGCATATTATAAGAAATCAGATTACGGGGCCTGTTTTTCGTTTCTTAGCACCTATTCTAATTTTTCTTATGGGTTTTATTTTTAAGTTTTATTGTTGGTCAATGCTCAACAGCATTGTATTTTCCAAATACTAACCACTGTGTTAGTAATTCATAAATTGAACTATTTGAAAAGTCAGCGATGTCCTAGATATCAATGGTTGAATTCGTGTTTAAATTTCAAATAAACAGTCAAAGACTAAACAGAACATATCAATAGCTTATTAACAAAGATAGAAAACCTCATGATCGAGCTTATACATAGTTAAATAGAAGGATTTCAACAACAAATCCGGACTCAATGATCGAGTCTGTTTAAAGATTTTCCCGGAATTATCAGAACCAATGAAAAACGTGTACAAGACTAACGCTGTTCGCGTGTAAAACACGTTCGAGAATTAAGAAGTATATGGATGTAGAACCATTACCTAGCGTTCGATCAGCCTGATAGGTTTGGTTCATAATACCTTATATTATAATATTGTAAGTTATGTCTATTTCTAACTAATATACGTGATAACCCACAATATTAGGGATTAATTCCAGTGATATTTAAGGTAGGTTCTAAATATTCAATTTATTTATTGCACTGCTTGTCTTCTAAGTTATTCAAAATATTTTGTTTGAATTTTGTTTTTATTTTCCTTTTGTGTGTTTCTAAAATTTGAAACTAGCATCTTAACTTGTAAATCTATGGCCTAGTTTTTAAATAAAAGTTCTAATTAGCATGTTGCAGTTTTTGAGTATTTTTCTTTTTAATTTGTTTTATAGTGCTAGAATTGAATGGCGGATAATTTGTTATCAACCTGGGAAATGGTTCTTCAAGGTTTGGTATAAGATTATTAAATGTAATAATAAAATATATGATCATCATATTCTAAAATAACATCTGTCGAAAAACTAGAAACACTAAAATATCAAATGATTAGACTTGACATATTAGGTAGTAATATTTGTGAGAAATTTCAATTACCACCATTCTTTTATCGTTGGGCGCGAGTTTACCTTAGTGCGAGATCTGTTGGCTTTAACTTTGACATTATTAGGTATTAAAGATTAAACATTAATACATATGTCGATTTACTGTTGGTAATCTCTACATGATAATCCACAAATATCAAGAAAAATTATAAGTATGACAAGACTGGCTGACTTTCTCTCGGAAACTATCGCTCCATAGGTATCTTCTTAATAGTCCTTCTTTATAAAAAAAATCATTGGTAGCTATTTGAAATTGTTGGTTGGACTAATTTTGGAAATAAACCCAAGACTGAATCATTTGTACAGCAACATCCAGTGACAAACAGATAATAGCCTTGCTGTCAGCATCCAATGTTAGATGATAGGGCACACTAGGTAGTAGTTGGTAGTAGTAGTTGGATCTGGATTCATTGGGTGACTGTTGAACTGTTTTTTGTCGAAATAACGAAATAAAACGCCACGGTGGTATGTTAGTCTGTCTTTACAGTGGGGTTGCTCATTTTAAACTTGGCGAATTTGTAATACACACATTCTTCTTGTATGCCATCTCGTCACCTACAAGTAGAAGACATACAAGATCAATGGGATCATAAACTCATTGGGTAATATACTGTCAAACAAGTTCATTCATGAAAACAGACGGATTCACATATGACCGATAAATTCAGTCACAGTTGGAATTTGGGAACAGATTGAGTACTCACTGTAAATCAACGTAATACAAGCCATTCTGCGGGTATTTATGACCTTACACAGGTCGTTTACTGTGGGGATTGGACAATGAAATGCGTGGTCAAATCTCGCCAGGACCATATATATAGCTATAGCCACCAAGTACCAAGACTGACCATTTAAAACATATTCGATCTTTACATGAAATATTAGAGAATAAATAGGATGTAAAAATATACAGAAATATCAATCAAAGTGGCAAGGTGTCAGACATTGGAAATTTGAAACCGTCATTCAAACTGTCATAACCATAGAAAAAACCTTCTTAATATGCTTTAGTGGGATGTAGGTTAATTTTTTCGGAACACAATAATCAAGTTGAAAATTATTTCCGTTCACTTTGTGCCACTTCACGACTCTAGGGGTCTCAGTTTGATATATTTTTCAAAAAGGTAATATAGGGAGGTGATTGGATCTTGTGTTGCTGAATTTGTAGATGGTATGTTGGATTGGCAGTTGGGAATACATTTCAGAGATTATAATGTTATTTAGATAGTTTCATTCGGAGAGAAAAGAATTATGTCAAAGCCAGAGAAAAATTGCACTTTTGCTGGAAATCTGACAATTCTACGTCAGTATCTGAACTTTTATGAGTCTTCTAGGTCCCATGTTCCTTAAGCAACGTTACATGATTTAATGCTACATGATCATTATATCCTGTAACATTGCTTAAGGAACATGCTAGGCCCCAATCATTGATTTGAATCTACATGGTCATACAGAGATATAAGAAAGTTCATGTTTTTAACCTTTTTGTGACCACCTGGGACATTGAAAACTTATATTTTGACTACCCCAACACACAAATATATTAAACTGGTTCGTTTCAGACTATATTTTCTTTTTGTATTTAATTCTGATTCCGGTTAGATAGTTATTCAGTCAGTTTAAGTTTTTGTCGTTTTGTTTTGTACTTTTCACTGATTATGTGCTTTATGACTTTTGATTTTATGATTTACTGATAAAACACGACTTACACGACTTACTGAGGCAAATTCATGCGACAGTTCCGTTCCAACGATACATGCATCACCCTATTTTGACAGGTCGTGATTTTTTTCTGACATATTCTTGAAGTTCGTGTTCAAAGCACAGCATGTCACATTAGTTTCATTGTAAGGGATGGAGACACTTTAAGGCGTTCTTGCATCTATTAACACTTTTTTTTTCTTTCAAAAACTAAAACTGACATGTTATTTCTAACCTTGTACCGTTGTAAACTATTCAGGCACTAAAGTTAAAGTGTCTTAATTATGAGTAATGGTCACAGTGTGTTCCTTTCGTCTTTGGCAGTTCTTGTTCTGAATAGAGGGTATTAGTTTCCCATTTCTCTCGTGAAATGTTACAGGAGAGCCTCAGACAGGCAAAGTTTGTTATATATACTTAAAGAGTTCCCTTATTTTCATTTATGAAAATGAAAATGCTTATACTCATATATTTACATTTTATTGTCACGTGCTATAGTGAACCCATATGAGAAATTTGTATTCATTTACCGATGAACTACAACTTTCCTAGTGATCACTGATGACGTAATGACGTGACAAATTGGGATTCGGCGTATGAATACACAAAATCTTTCAACTAAAAATGAACAAGACGATGGAAAAAATCTCCGTTTCTATGTTTGTGTTGAATATCTAAATTATTTGTTTCTCTTATAGAAGAACTTTCAGAGATGTATTTTCATTCGTTTGCGAAAAAAACAACTGAATTAACCTTGTACTATTTTATTTGTGTGGTTGTATATTCATACGTCAACGTCAGCCTAGCAACGCAGGGACGGGGCTTTAACTTAAACAAAAGCAACACAAGAGTTTAAGTTAATTAACAGGAGTTGTGTTGCTTTTGTTTCCAAAGTTTCTGACAATAAGGGAGACCGGAGCTAAGTGGCCCACAGGGCAAGTTGGCCCCTCTCTCATATTTCGGAATATAAGGGCATTGACGTCACCGTCTTCACAGCTTGAGATCACCTGGTTTTACGTAGTCTAATAAATGGCGGGAGTATGAAACGCAAAAAATCTACATTAAATCCTGAAATGAATGAAAGTAGAGGTGTTATGTTATAATGACTTGAAAAATTATTAGTTTGTCTCGCATGTCCATAATAAATTCATAATTAGCTAAATTAGAAGACAATTACCCGCAGTATTCCAATGAATGACCGATCAAGAAAGGTCACAAAATTTTTTTTTGTTTATCCAGACAGTACATACATGAACATATATGATTGGTTAAAACTCATATGCAATAAGAACATAATGATGTGATTAAGTATACATGATAATTCATTAGAAACACCATTATAAAATAGTTTGATTTATTTGTCACTAAAAATAAGGAAACCAATATTTATACACTTTCTGTTTGTTAATTGTAGATCATAGTTAATTATGTATAAGCTACTTCCTACCGAAATGCACACATCTGATTTTTTTCAAATATTGACTATGTAAATTTAGGTGTTCACTTTCTGACTTCTAACAATTTTTGTTTTAGATAATTAAGAAATCTTGATGCATAGGGAGAAAATAATAAAGAAATTATTTATCATGTCTTTATAATAAATGCAACCCGTCATCAAAAGACATAAAAATAAATCGAAACCCCTGCAGTATACAATAATCAGGTTATATTCTGACAATGCACATTCACGCTTATTAAACTGCAGTTTAGATGTTCCGTTACGTCTTGTTTTTTTCTGCAGATTACTACACTTGACATAAATGATGTGGCGGGATTTATCTTTGATTGGGTTTTCAGAACTCTTTTAAAAATGTTTTCTAACTTATCAAAAGCTCTGAAGTAACATTATATATCTAGAAATTCTTAGCATATAGAAATTTTTTATTTAACGGAAAATCTGATTGGTTGAATATTATACAACCAAGAACATGAAATGCATCACAAATCCGTGAGATCAACGACGGCAAATGGACTCAATAAAAAAAGAAAATTAAACATATAGATCTGCATTATAATGAGATTGATCGAATGTCAAGTCATTTATACGTTAAGTCGGAAATTTTAAGGAAGAGATATGATAAATCTGGCAATTCCATGACACAAAGATCAACAATTAAACACAAAGTGAGTGAAACTATAGAGAGAAAGTGGATTTGTAGCTAAATGTATTCGATCATTAATATCAATTTGGTTTTTGATACCTCTGCAAATTAGATCGTCACTTCCGCTTTAATGTATAAATGTATTTTTGTCATTTAAAGCAAAAAGAAATGTTGCCATTTTTTTCGTAGATGTCGGTTTAAAGGGACAATGCGCTTTGTTTGTAGGTCGACACTTTTTGATCTAATTTGTGAAAACTGTACACCGAAAGGTAGAGAAATTTACCCTTTAACGTATCTGAAAGTTTTAACCAAAAGAATCCAGCAGTTAATTTTTAAACGCCAAAAATATTTTAAAACATAACGTAAGGTTTTTAAGTTGTTATGCTTTTCGGGAGCTATTAGAAAACTACTATATGGATTTGAGTAAAATAAACGCTTATTTGTAGAGAAATATGTCTCTTATGTATTCTAAAGGTTTCAACTAATATCTTTTATTTTAATTAACAATTAATACTCTGCGTTTGAACAGTTTTAAAGATACATAGATATAAATAAAATACTTTAGAAATATTTTCAGATAAAATTTACGACGTTTTTGATAATGAAAACTTCTTACAAACAAGCAGAATACCCCTTTAAGATTGTCAACGATGCCTTTACTTTATACGAAAATATATCTGACAAAATCAGAGCCTTTATTTTGATTTACCCTTGAAATATCAGTTTATGTATGTATATATTTTCAATTTGATATTATGGCGCTAAATGGTCATTTTTTAGTCATTATTTTATACAGAAGAATTTAATCTATAAACTATTCAAAGTTTCTGTGGTCTTTCAGGAAAGAGTTCCAGTCTACAGTTGGAATCGTACTTGAGCTGCAGACTAAACTTGGAGCCGTACTTGAAATTGGAATATTAAACGTGAACTATGAATTAAATGGTCTGAAGTTTCTTTTCACCACTCCATACAAACCATTGATGTTTTCAAACCTCTGTCACTCGCTGCAGAAAAAGTTTAAGAAAATTTTCTGAAAGAACTATTCGTCGCTAATGAGTTGGCATTCAAAACCATGTTTTTACCGTTGGTGCTATTATGTTGACGACAAAGCTGGCCAAATTGAGTCTAACCAGAGTGAAAAGAAATCATTCGTAAAAGAACGCATTAGGAGTGTTATTCTACAAGGACTTCTTTGTGAATTACTAGTGTTGCTGTAATAACAGAGCTCGATAAGCAGTACTGGTGGATAAAAATAACACTCGAGAGTTAATCAAAGTATTCTTTTAATATAGGAAAATATAGTTTTAGGATATTGTGGCTTTCAGTACGTTGGATTTTTAAGGACGTATGTACTCCCAAGTCTGTGGACAAATAATTCAAATTTCTGACAGATTTTAACGTGTCCATTATACCAAACCTCAAAGGATTCGATCTGACATCACAGCGGGGTGGTAAAATTTACATATCATAATTATGTTCTTAATGAACAATAATTGAGTTTCGTTTATGCCCATATTATCCCTGTCATCAACAAAGGTAACCACAGAGCCGTGTTTGACTTTTAATCTTCTTGAATAAAACAAAACAATCATCCTCGGCCGCAGCAGAAGCTTTGATATAGGGAATGTTAGCTGTTTCTCGGAGCAGTTGATGATAAAATGTTTCTCTAACTAATGTCGCTAGTACATAAATGCCTCAAAACCACATTTCAGAAATCTTGTTAGCTAGTTCTTATTTACTCTGGTAGAACTCTAGAATTGACATTGAAATCAGTTTTACAATTGCAATTCTTCTTGTGCGAACAGACGAACATTTTCTACACGGTTTCGTCTTCGGAGAGACCACATAACAGATTATTGGTTTAAAATTACTTTGACAAAGGTGTTATTTTCTTTCAGGAAGACTAATGATAAAAACGTGTTAACAACG